ACCTTTAGGATGAACTAGAACAGAGATTGTGAGCCAGACCCTCTCATCCAACATCAGTGCCTGACCTCACAAATGCTCTTCTAGATGAATAAATTCCCACAGACACACTCCAGAATCTTGTAGAAGAGTGGGAGCTGTTTAAGCTGCAAAGAGGGGACCTACTCCATATTAATACCTATAGATTCAGAATGGGATCTCATAAAAGCTCCTGTAGGTGTGATGTTAGGTGTCCCAATACTTTTGTCCAAATAGTGTATAATATATATGTTCTGATCTCACTTATTACAGTGGAGGTTCTCAGTTTACAAAAGCAACAGCAAAGTGGAAAGCTACAATTCCCCTCAAAAACCTCTGCTCTAGCAAGAATCCTTGAGCTGTGTGAAAGAGAACAAGAGCAAGAGGCTACAGTCATGGAGGAGCTTGAGCCATTAAATATATGGATTATTCTACTGAATAAGTTCAAATTGCGGTACCACTGTAAACAAAAAAAACTATTTTAAAAAACAATGAAGTATTCAGCCCTTATATACTTACAAGAATACCCGTATGATCTATTTAGAACCAAGGCATTAATACAAATAGTAATAAGGGAAATATATACAAAGTCATAATTTATAGGTTGCTTTCTATCAGGAGGTTCCAAACCCTAACCCCTAAATTTCCACTTGTGAAAATAATACTTCCATTATTTTAATTTTTTTGTATTTTTAAATATTTTTTATTTCTGTTAAAGTGAAGTTGGAAGATTTAGATTTATTGTGAGTTTAATTTTAAATTAGAAATGCTGGCCTATGTTTTTATGTTGTTACTGACACACAAAGTCTTTTAGTGTGTAGGCGGAGCCTTATTTTAGCCACACCCCTGTATTTTAGAGCAGGAAGTGAGACTGCATCTTTGTAGTGAGCAGTTACTTATTGTTTTGAAGTAAATGTGTCCCAAAGTCTGAAAATCAATGTGGAACATTAAGTATTCTCACATATTGAAATCCATATTTTTCTGCTTAATGAAAAATATTATGACAAAACTTATTGTCCTATCATGTGACTAATAAAATGCACTGATTTTAAAATAGAAAAGAAATTCCTTTAGTGTCAAATTTGAGCAAGTAAGAAAAATACAAATCATGATTAACTGTACATTTTTTTGTCATGTATTATAACTATACAATGAATTTTTTATTAGTTTTTTTAAGTTAAAAGTCAAAGTTGATACTGACACCAGTATCAGTATACCCATACAGACAGTATTATCACTCAGCGCTACAAGGAACAGTACTATGTTGACCTACACATGGACACATCTGAAAACGCTGTATGGCAGACCACACAAAAATCTATTCTCAGTCACGCGCACACAAAACTGACGTTAAGCCAAAGTGTAATATAAATGTGACTGCAGAGCTTCATTGGAAGAGTCAGCTTAATGCCAGGCGAAATGGAAGCGAGAAGCAAACTCGTTTTTCTTTTTTCTCACTCGGAGGCCTCTCCCTCTCTCCCTCTTTACGCCTATGTGGTTTGCGAGAAAGGGATTGGACAGAGCGATGGAGAAAGTGAGAGCGGAGGAGGATAAAGGACAGAGTGAGAGAGAAAGAGAGAGAGAGAGAGCTGTCAGAATGTGGTGACTCAGTATGGGAAGAGACTGAAAATGCACATGTCCACTCTGTTTCACACACACACACACACAGGCGCGCACAAACAAACACAAACTGCAGTTCAGCGTTTGACATGCCAGGAAAGCGAGTTTCTTCTCTCTGTGCTTTTAATGATGTTCCTCCTTTAGGCCATGCAGAATCTGTGTGTGTGTGTGTGTGCTTGCCAGTGTGCCTGCCTTTCAAGCAGATTTCAAATCAGGATCAGTACCAGATGTACAAGGAATTTCTCTTGGTGCAGGTGTCAACATAAAATGAAATCCAATAAATATAAGAAATGATATTCTATATGTATATATGCAAAAAATAGAAAAAAGGAAAGCACAATGGAAGTTAAGTACAGTTACAATCAAGTACTGAAGTACATAAAGTATATAGTAGGTACAGCTAAAAGTGACCAGCGAACATAAATGCAGATCCATATATCTACATTGTATATATCATACGGTTTTAGTCACGTGACATAATTAGAGGTGAAAGATGGCTAAAATTACTCACCTTACTTTGGAAGAGAAAAAAAACGTTACCTCAAAAAAGTAGATAAAATAGGTGATAAAATACCCCCAAACTCCTGGTCCCACTTAAACTGGCGGAAAGCTACCAAATTTGTTTTCCTGACATTTATATTTATCTCATACACAGCCCCTCCCCCCTATTCTGTAGAGTCTTTCAAAACATTTAAAAGCATAGAAGTCTACCGGCTCTTCACATCAGGGTGGGTAAAGGATCCCATGGTGTTGCATAAAGAGGAGAAAAAACTCTTTGTCATCATAGGAGGGTAAGGCCATATCAGCTAATTAACACAGATGTGAACAATACTAGCCTTTAGATAAATTTTGCTAATGTTAACAGCCGAGCGAAAAACAGTTGTCCCCCTTATGGAGCTGCAAACAGCCGGGTATAACTTTACTTCTCAGTTTCTGGAAATTTAAATGAGGTTTGAATGGAGAAACATAAACGTTCAATATAAGACTGTAACATCATCTTTCTTTTCAGCAACATTCAGTAATCGTTCAGGAAGTGAGGACATCAGTTTTTGTAGTGTTTAATTTTTTTCTCATTCTTGCTGTATGTAACACTTCAGCTGTTCAGCAGTCTGGTGTTCCTGTTGCAGTATATTGCACGTCTTGACGCATCTCACGTTTTCAGTGAGACACAGATCTGGACTGCAGGTCGGTCAGTCTAGAACCTGCACTCTCTTACTGTGAAGCCACGCTGTTGTAATATGTGCAGAATGTGACTTGGCATTGTCTTGCTGAAACAAGCAGAGACAACCCTGAAAAAGACGTCGTCTGGATGGCAGCAGATGTGGCTTCATAATGCATATGCACCCCTCAGCATTAATGGTGTATTCACAGTTGTGCAAGTTCCCCGTGAACACACCACATTACCACAACAGATGCGCGCTTCTGAACTTTGCATAGGTAACGATCAGGATGGTCTTTTTCCTCTTCAGCCCGGAGAACTAGATGTGCACTATTTCCAAAAACAATTTTAAGGTGGACTTGCTATTTTTCCATCTTTTCTTTGTGCTGTGTTTGATTAAGTACCTGTAAAATACAGTTTATTAGTCACTGCCTTTCGTTTTTTTACATTTTACCTACTGTCCCAACTTATTTGGAATTGGGTTTGTATACTTATATAATATGTATGTTGCATGTGCATACGTTCACTGACTATGGTATAGGAAAGTGGGAAAGGTTTTTATTCAGAAGGCTTATGGTATGGAATATACAGTGGTTATGTACATTGTGTGTAACAAAGCGCATGTGCAGCTGTTTAAAGTAGAGGGATGTGAGAAGGGTCTTCGTTCAGGAGGATTATGGCCTGGGGAAAGAAGCTGTGGAGGTGGCGGTTGGTGAGAGTCTTTATGGGTTCTCACTCTTGGTCTCTGCTGAGATGGAAACCGCCGAGAGAGAGAGAGTGACCCGAGTACAAAGGACCACGCTCCTGTCTTTTTGAATGGAGAGAAACCTATAAACCCCCAACTAAAAGCACTGCTAAATGCTGTCAAAAATTAATTTGATAAATGTTTTGTAGTGTTTGGCTCAAACAATGCACAAAAACATATTTGTTCAGCTTGTTCCGGCTACTGCGCATGCACATATCTGAAAAACCAAGGGGAGCTTTTTCCACCTTGTTGGTTCATTTTATTAAAAGGAAGGATTTTCTCCATAAGCAGAGACCATGTTGAGCGTTACAAGCTTTTCCTTTCTCCTCCTTTATAAAGTCTCTAGTCTTAGCCTACTGTGATAAGTGCTTGGCTGTTGGCTAAACGGATGATGTTACTGTACTGTATGTGATCTGTGGCACGCCTTAGTGACCATTCTGTTGTTCACTGATAATTTCACAGCCACAGACTCTCTCATACATGCATATGTGCCCAAACACTGAATATTGCCCTACAGGCTGCTGCTGACTCTGTGTATAAAAAGTGCTTAAAGTTCAGAAGGGTCACTCTTCTGCCCCTCTGTTCTCTGACCAGCTCCCTAGCTCTTTATCACAAAATCTCTATCATTCTTCCCAGCCTATTTATTTATTTATTATTGTTCATTATTACTGTAGTTTTTAGCACAAATTTTAAGGTAAACATTAACCAAAAATGTCTATTGTACATTGGGTGTGTTTTGTCATCTTATGACGCTTGGATCATGATATGTGTCATATCATGAAGTTGCTGACAGTACCCAGCCCTAATAGATACTAGAAAGTTTGTTCATTTAACAAACAAAAAGGACTGTGAAAGTCACAGGCATATATGAGGGGTTTATTTGAAGACTACCTACATAAGGACTTAAAAACATATTTGTAAGGCAATACTTGAAAATTGAGGAGCAGCTTATGTTAGAAATCGCAGCATGACATAAGATGTTCTGTAAATTAAATTACATTGTGTTGACATAAGGGGTCTTAAACTAGTGCAAATGCAAGTGACTTGCATTTCATTTATTTTTGACACTTTTACGAAGCTTCATTCGCAAATAATAGAACTTAAAAGATGGAGACCTAGTTAATAGCTCCATCAGTTCTGTGGATATTTTCTCGTGTATGAATATTCATATTCCTGCACAAAAAGAATGGGTAGAAATACCCTTGGTAAAACATTACTTAAGTAACAGTCCCTTAATACTTAATACACATTGTACGTTTGTACAGTTTAACTGATGCCTGTGTTATGAAGTCTTTAAATATTAGGTAGCCTTCAAATAAAGTGTTAGCAAATTTACACTGGCATTGATAAGATTTTAATATATAGACATGCACTGTATGTTTATGTTCAGTAAACAAATATCTCTCTCTCTCTCTCTCTCTTTCTTTCTCTCTCTCTCGCTCTCTTGTCCAACCCCCTCAGATCTATGGCCGTCTGAGGCAGCGGAAGAGCATGATGGAGAGAATGAGAGAGAACAAGTTCCGCAGCAACGAGACCAAGCGCATCAACGCTATGCTCTTCTCCATTGTGGTGGCCTTCGCCGTCTGCTGGCTGCCCCTCAACGTCTTCAATGCCGTCATCGACTGGAACCACGAGGTGGCAATGAACTGCACCCACAACCCCCTCTTCTCACTCTGCCACCTGACAGCCATGTGCTCCGTGTGCGTCAACCCCGTGTTCTACGGCTTCCTGAACCGCAACTTCCAGCGGGACCTGCGCACCTTCCGCCTTTGCAAGAGCCTGTCGGTCAGAGAGGATGAGTACGACACCATCGCCATGTCAACCGTCCACACCGACCTTTCCAAAACGTCACTTAAACTCGGCAGTCCAGATTTGTAGGAGAACAGCCTGAGCTGTGTCCCGTATAGCTGCTTTGGCTACAAGGGAGTGTACTCTCTGAGATCATCCACCTGGATGCAAGTGTACTGCACATATCAAGTGGCAAAAGATCTGAGTAAATGGTGGCTACGTCCCAGATCAGTCACACACTTAACACTAGGGGCCTGATTTAGTGAAGGTTTCAGCATGTGCCGATGTCATGCTGGAGCAAAATGAGCAAATGGGGCAGTGAGCGATGGGAAGTTGTCATTCTTCAGGCTTTAATGGCGATCCTGACATTGGAAAAGCAAACCATTTCATGCTAATTGTGATTCCGACTACCACTGAGTATCTTAAACATCAATTCTGCTTAAAATACCATAGCCTGATAATGGAACCTAACCCAAGGGGGCTGCCAGAGGACATGCCTTAGCCAATACTTCTCTGAACAGCAATCTGAACTGTAAAAAGTTACACCAGTGAGGGAGACGCTAAGAAGACACCAGGGGATAGACGCAGGATTTGCTGGTAGAACTGTAGAGCCTTAAAGAAGCTATGAGGGACCCCCAAAAGGTGCTCTTTTGTGTTGGACTTCTTTCAGGTATCTTAAAACAGCACGTCGACCTGAATGTCAATCGTGTAGAGATGCTACAGCTACAAGAGTGGACTGCTAAATTACTAGTGTTGGATTTTAGCGAACAAAATTTTCTTGAACAACATCCGAACACTAAATTAAGAAGTGACCAGATTTGTTGGCAGCTTGTCTACAGCAGTCCAGTTTAGAAGGGCAGAAGATAAAACAATTTGGAAAATATCAGCTTATCAAGCTGAATGACCATAAAAGGTTTGTTTTCTTGGTTTAATAACACCAATATTAAGTGATCTTCTTTAAAATGTCATCAAAACACACATATCAGAGCAGTGTTCCACTTGCCATAAGCTTATGAATATGTTACTGTTGCAGTTTTCTGTGCGCTGGTTCTTATCAGTATGAAATAAAAAAATAGATTTAGGGAGACACAGAAGAATGTGCAAAATACTGTTTTAATTGGTATTTGTATGTCGTGAATAACTATGAATGTAAATGAATTGAGTGTTGTGGTATAAGAAAAAAATGATAGCTTAGAAGTCTGATTATGTATGATTACTTGAATAATGTTATTTAGAGACGTATTCAGAATATTTTCATATATTGGTGACATGATTCATCGGTGATGATTTATATACTTAATTGTAAGTATTAATTTAGAAATTACATACGTATACTTAATTCTAAGTATTGATTGGCATAATTTGGATATTCACTTAAGTCACTTTACCTTGAAATGTTAAACATACAGAGCCAGTCCAAAGTTCGGACACACCTGCTTATATAAGGGCTTTCCTTTATTTTTACTATTTTCCAGGGACAGCAGCAAACTGTGAAATAGCATTGGTATCTTATACATGTACATGATTCTTAAAAGTAGCCTCCTTTACCTTGAAGCTGCTTTAAACAGTCTTGCATTCTCTCCAGCAGATTCATAGTTTTCATAGTTTTTTCTTTATTTATTGAACAAAGTAATACAACATGTATTTGTTGGCAAAAGTATGTGAACCTTTGCTTCAGCCCTGCACGTTGACTTGGAGGAATTCTGGCCCATTCCCCCTCACAGAACTGCTTCAACTCTATGATGCTGGTAGGCTTTCTTGCATGAATGCCCAATAGAGGTCCTGCCACAACATTTCTACTGGAATAAGGTCTGGATTTTGACATTTCTTCTGTTTCAACCACGCTTGGTAGACTAATTAGTGTTTTTAGAATTGTTGTCTTTCTGCCGGACCTACCTCCTGTTGAGGTTTAGTTCATGGATGGATGCCCTAAAAGTCTCCTGTAGAATGTCTTAATATAATCCTGAATTCATAACTCTGTCAAGTGATGGCAAGCTTACTGGTCCAATAGCAGCAAAACAGCCACAAGCCATGATACTGCCACCACCATGTTTCACAGCTGAGATGAGGTACTTATGCTGGAATCCAGTGTTCAGTTTTTGCCAAACAAAACTCATTTAAGCTGTAAAGATCTACTTTTGCCTTCTTTGTCCACATGACATTACTTCAGTAGTCTTCTCGGTCATCCTGGTGATCTTTAGATAAGTAGCAACGTTCTTCCTGGAGAGTACTAGATTTCTCCATGCTATTTTTCCAAACATACTGTTTTTGTTCAGTGTTTGCCTGATTGTGGACTCTGACATTAGCCATTGTAACAGAGGCCTGCAGATCCATAGATGTTACCCATTGTTATCCAGTTGATGAAACCTCTTGACCCTGATGATCCCCTATGCCAAACTGCTAAATCTAAAGGTTCACATACTTTTCAAATGAATCAGCAACTATATAATTGCTTATGTTATTTTTGTTGGGTTCTCTTTATCTATTGTTATGACATCAATGAGGATCTAAACTCATTTTAGACCAGAGTTTAGATCAGAAATTCACATACTGCTAAAGGGCTCGCAAACTTTCAAGCAGAACTGTATGCCGACACCTTGCTGGGGGGCATTTAAAAAAAATTGTAAAACTAAAAGTTGTGTTTTGGAAGTACATTCATACATAGGCATTATTAGAAACGAACCAAACTAAAAAAACTTAAGCATTTAAAGAAAATTCCATGAATCCTTCTAAATTTTTGAAGTGAGTGGTTTGACATGAATTGCTCCGTTCTAGAAAAATTTACAGTCAGAATTATTCACAGTGGTGGTGATAGGAACCAGACATCTAAAGAGTTTAATACCTTTAAAAGCTCCCTCACAGAGAGTTATTATATGAAGAAGTTATGAGTTAACTGAATCATTGTTGTATGAAATGTTTTGGCCCAAAACCCATTTTTTAAAACGCATTCGTGGCAGAGAGGTACATGCAGGGCATTGTAAGGCAGAATAGTCCCCAAAGAAAACCTGTTTGTCGTCGGATTTACCATTGATTTTGCCGTTATTAGTAATACATATAAAACTCAGAAGAAACATGTAAGTTCACCGGTCATTTTGGATAGTAAATCAAATTGCTATGCTGCTTCCTGTCACCACCTTTGTAAAGGAGTCTGAGTCTCTGTAAACATATCAAACCCATTTAACTGACCTTGTTTTCATCTCAATCATTGAATTGTGCAGAGATTTTGGGGTGGAATTCATAGCTCTTAAGCGTTTAGATCAAAATGTCTAAGATTTTGAAAAACATACAGCCAGGTGTGTCCAAGCATTTGACTGGTACTGTAGTTTAAAGAAATTATTCTAGTGTGTGTGTATGGTCTGTGTGTGCATATCGCAGTCTGTATGTTTGTAAGAGTTGGAGCGATACAATGACGTCATTCTCGGTACTGAACAGATTCAAACTAGAAATTATTTTGTTATTGGCCAAAATCGTACAACTATACCTCAACGTCTCAGTATAGAAAACACTTAATTGTAAAGTATGTCTGCTGACAGGACCAGCTTTGTTTACTGCTATCAGAATTTGTGCATACTGTATATTTCAGTGGATGCAGTGTCATAGCTCTGTTTCTGAGTAAAACACTTCTGCCCTCTTTTAAATTATGAAAACCAGCCATCTGGTGGCCACAGTTCGCATCTCACAAACAAGTATCTTTAACCCTTTCGCAAGTACAGCCCCACCAGTGGAGTTTGCCATGGCTGGTCCCCAGGTAGTGTGGTCCCACCAGGGGCATTCAAGTATAGTGTTACACCATGCAGCTTCGAATGTGACTGTGATGCTTGCAGTAGACTTCTATGTTAATCAACGTAGCCTTTACACCAGCAGCGAGGCGAGCAGCACTCGTCTATGTTTATTATTGAGTATATTTTTGAAACACTGTCCTGTAACTTGTACAGGCAGTCAGCTTCAGCAACCTACCAGATCCTTCTGCTATAAAACAAGTTGGTCTGATATGTGCTGGTGATATTTTATGCTCCATGGTACTCACCAGATACAAACTGTGCTGCAGGCTAGCTTAAGGCTAGAATTAGCTGTGTGCAAAGTGCTTTTTTTATCTTATATAGGGGCATTAAACAAATATTGAAGTTTTTTATGTGTGCTACATAGGTGCTGTTTTACACTGAGAGATGTAATAATAAACCCACGGATAAAGTAAATGTTTGCACTACGGCATTCTGCTAAATGCTAGGCTATTATCCAGAAGGCTACTTGTAAACATCCATGAAATCTGCCAACTCGAGCTTAACCCCACAATAATTTTAGTATAAAATTTTCCTTATCATGTCCGGAATGTAGTGATTCACAGCAGTGTAAACAAACAAATCTGGTTACAGGTCAGCAGGGCCAGGGCTCGCAAGCATTAAGGCCCAGGGATGTCACTATAGTACCTCACCAATTACTACCCACATAATTAAAAGGAAAATGCACTTTTGAGTGTTAAACCCAACACGTGATTGCTTATCCCACATTTAACGGTCTAATGCTGGTTACTGTAACAACTGACAGAATAGCAGGGTGAGTAAAGGCACTAGGTGTAGATATTTAGGGTGAAATGTTGAACACTGTGGTTTTCTCATTGCTTTTTCACAATAGTTACCTTTGTTTTCACCTCCACTATAACGAGATAAGTTGCCTATAGGAACTAGCACAGAAATCTGAGGCCCGTCCCCCCAGCCTCTGAATTTAGAGATGTTCAGATGTCAGAGGTGTGCTCTGTACTCTGTTAACCGTTCGAGGTGCCAGTATTCGAACACTGAATTCACATCACAGGAAGCTGCAGAAAATTCAGCTAACAATTGAGTGATGATTTGAAATTTTTAATTGTTGTACGAGTGCCTTAATGTGAGCATATTGCCAAGGATGTGAGCAGACAGAGATAGCACGGCTAGTTTGCCAACTATGCTAACTACTCTAGCTGATGTTAGCTCGGTCCAGAAACAATGAAAATATATTTCTCTGAGAAATTAACATTTTGCTGGTAGGCTTTCTTGCATGAATGCCCAATAGAGGTCCGGCCACAACATTTCTACTGGAATAAGGTCTGGATTTTGACATTTCTTCTGTTTCAACCACGCTTGGTAGACTAATTAGTGTTTTTAGAATTGTTGTCTTTCTGCCAGACCTACCTCCTGTTGAGGTTTAGTTCATGGATGGATGCCCTAAAAGTCTCCTGTAGAATGTCTTCATATAATCCTGAATTCATAATGAGGAGAAAATAACGTAGAAGACAAAAAGTCCTCTTGAGCGTCTAGTTTTGTTCCTAATAATAGTGTATTTTTTCTTCCCTGCTTAACTGAATATCCCTTCATGAACATCAGTTGCACATTGCTGCGCTCTCTTTCGGCTTGTCGTGTTATTTATACCTTCACAACACTGTTGCCAATACCCGATACCATTATCAGTATCGATGCATCCTTAAATACAAGAATCAGATGTAAAAATGGCTAATTAAAAAGAAAAAACTATACAGGAATCAAATGACGTGTAGCCTACAGTGCATGACATTCACATTCTAGAGCTGCAGCTACGTGCAAGCTAAAAGAACCCTGTCTGGAC